AGTATATAGAGACTGAAATACCACATATTCTTTTCCAAATGCTATGGTAATTTATGTGATAAAGGACATTTCAAACAAGTGGGATAAAGATGACTTACTAAACAAATTCTGACATAATTGCTGATATTTAGGTGCAAAATAATAAAGCTGTGTCTGTCCTTGGTGCTTGCAAGGAACCAACAGAAGGCCGTTGTAGCTGACTGAAGGAGATGCAGTGTTGTCAGAAAGATAGGTGGGGACCTGATTGTGTTGGGCTTTGTAAATCTAAGCTAAGAAATTGATCTTTTTTGAATAGAGTGTGTCTTTTTCATGTTCATTTGACATGTTTCTTCTATGTAGCATGTATTTTGGATTCTATTTTTTTATCCACTGAGCTTTTATTTTTTATTATTAATATAACACACATGTTTAATATTGCTTCTGTCATCACATTCTATGTTAGTTTTCAGCTTTTGATGTTTCCTTGGCTTCTATCTTTTACTAAAATTCCTGTTACCCTTTATTTCCCTAAGGACTTGTAAACATCTTTTACTCTCTCTTGGTATTGTGTACCTCTAGAGAGAAGTAGCAAGCCTCCTTGATTTTTTTCTCTTTGTTACTTTTTCTGTGTGAATATACTGAAGAATTGATCCTATAAAATCTTAAAACTCATTAATTCCTATAGCAGGACGTGTGTGGGTATTGATCTTTCTGTGTCTGTTGCTTGTTTTGTTTCCTGGGATGAAGGATCCTCTCTCTACTGGCTGATTAGAGTATTTCAGAAAATTTTCTTCTGTTATATCTTTGAACATTTTTTTAAAATCTGTTTTCCTCTTTTTTTTTTTAAGTACATCTTTTTGGGAATTTTTTTGCTTATCTTTAAGGGCTTTTAACTCTATCCATTTCTCTTAAAAATCTTTATTAACCTTTTGACCTTTACTGAGAATTGTTTTATCAAGCTTCACTGTCTGTCTCTACGTGTGGTTTCAGCAGTGCCAGTTTTTTGCTTTTTTTTTTTTTTTTGGTTTTTTTTTTTTTTTTTTTTGGGACAGTCTCGCTTCGTCATCCAGACTGGGGTGCAGTGGCACAATCTCAGCTCACTGCAACCTCCACCTCCCAGGTTCAAGTGATTCTCCTGCCTCAGCCTTCGGAGGAGCCGGGATTACAGGCATGTACCACCACGCCTGGCTAATGTTTGTATTTTTAGTACAGGTGGGGTTTCACCATGTTGGACCAGGTTGGCCTCAAACTCCTGACCTTAGATGATCCACCCTCCTTGGCCTCCCAAAGTGCTGGGATTACAGACATGAACCACCACGCCCTGCTAACAGTGTCAATTCTGGCTTTCATTTCTCTTTAGGGTGGCTTCAGTCTGTGACATTGACCTCTTCCTATTTATGTCTTTGTTTTCTATATTAGACATCTTATTGTAACTTTCATTTCTAAGAAAATTCACGTTTTTATTAGCTCTCTTAGTCTCACCAAGAATGTTTGAGATTTTCTTCTGCAGTGTGGCCTTGTTCTCCTGGAAAGATTATTTCATGTGCGTTTGTCATGTCCTCTTATTTTTTCTATAATATTTTTGGAAGATGTCTAGGGGAAAGGGGATTCCAAGTTGTCTTGGAGCACTTCCTGCTCTGGTCTCCTATCACTCTGCAATCATAAGCACCTCCCTTGCTGCTGTTTCTTTCCCTTAGAGGAGGCCTGTATTCCCTAGAGGAAATTTCTGTGTGTTATGGGTTTCTCTTGGATGATTCTGCATTTTTTTTTCTTTTCAGTTCATCTTGAAACTTGATCAGTGTCTGCCAAGTTGATTGTCATTTGTATTTTCCATGCTGCCCTGGTGTCCTCCCTGCTTGATTCCTGAAAGAAAGGAGGGAAAGAGCATATTGCCCTTCAGCTTTAATTTGCCTGCTGTGCTGAATCCATCCAGAATTCAACCTCTGCCACTGCTTGCCCTGACCTCTTTATTTTATCCTCTAAATTAGAGTTCGTTTGGCTATTTCTTGGATTGTTTCACCTATTTCTTTGAAACCTTTTTTTAGTTGGTTTAATCTGTAGGTTCTGTCTGCTGTGGGCATTCTCCCTTGATTTGATCTAATCTGATCATATTTGTTTGCATCTATTGTATATCATTTGTAGTTTTAAGTAAAGCTACTCATAGTTTCATTGTGTATGTGTTTGCTTTTTTTTTTTTTTGAGACATGGTCTCACTCCATAGCCCAGGCTGGAGTGCAGTGGCACGATCAGAGCTCACTGCAGCTGCCCACCTTTTAGGCTCAAGGAATCCTCCTGCCTTAGCCTCCTGAGGAGCTGGGACTACAGAGGCATGCATCACCACACCCAGCTAACTTTATTTTTTGTGGAGATGGGGGTCTCACTATGTCACACAGGCGGGTCATTAATTCCTGGGCTCAAACGATTGTCTCCCCTTGGCCTCTCAGAGTGCTGGGATTACAGGCATAAACCACTATGCCCAGCTCTTTTCTATTTTTATTTGTGTTTGCTATTTTCAGTTGATAACAGGGAGGGCAGAGCAGTAGAAATATCACTACTACCTTCAACAAGACAACACATTAACTGGATTTTGCAATAAAATAAAATACTCACTAGATATCTTTTTGGTCAATCGTTTGAATAGGAGAACTCAGAATTATAGCACAGTCTTGGGAAAATTAACTTAAAACCCTTGAAACAATTTACTAATGTGTTTGAATCTGATGTGGATCCAGGCTCTCATTGCACTAAAAGTGTGGTTGAAGTATTGATTGCCAAGACCTCCAGTGGTAGGGAGAGAGTGGGGTTGAAATTGTGGTTTTAGGGATGGCTAGTATTTGAATAAATGTTGTAGGAATTTTCCAAGCACAGAGCACAGCATGAATCTCTGGTTCTTAGTTCTTCACCAATATTTCCTCACTGAGAATAGCCAGACCTCTTGGAAGGGTAGTTGAAATTGAGTGACTAGGAGAGAGAGCATCAAATCCTACATAGAATGGTGATAACAGAGGATGGAGGGAATTGGGGTGATGGTCAAAGGGTACAAAGTCTCAGACAAGAGGAATAAGTTGTATGGGGTTTTTTGAGATCTATTTTGCAGTGTGGTGAGTATAATTAATAGTGCATTGTACATTTCAAAGTTGCTAAGAGTAAATTTCAAATATTCTCACCTCTTCAAAGTAAGTATTTGAGGTGGTAGATGCGTTGGTTAGCTTGACTTAATTATTCTACCCTGTATTCGGAAAGTTTCATATCACTTTGTGCCCCATAAATACATGCAGTTATAAAGGGTCAATTTACAATAAAATAAAACGTTTTAAAGGAGAAAGAAATGAAGAGTGAATAGAAGTGTGGAAGGATTTTTGAAAGTCAGCAAGTTTATCTTGGATTGAAGAGGGGACCCTAGTAGTTTTTTGAACAGGGGAATGACAAGGTGAAAGCTGTATTTAAGGAAAACTTTAACTAGCACTTGAATTGGCATTTAATTTGAGCTCACGGGGACTTGGTGAGTCCCTGTTTGTACCGAGTATCATACTGGATATAGTAGTGCACAGAGCGGCGTGGGGAACACTTCCTGCTTCAAGAAACTTAATCTGGTGGACACAAGAAACTGACTTTGAAAAATCTGCCTCAGTAAAATTTCCATACCAGAGCTGACCTGGACTCTGTTTGCCGTGGTGTCTGTTCTATGTTGCCAGTTAGGTTCTACCCCAGCAGCGGTCTCCGTCTGTGATGATATAACACAGCTAATGTTGACTCCGTGATTTGTATGGGACACTCTCAAGTCTGCCCTCAGTCATTGGAATCACATCTCATATAAATGTAGCTGATTATTCAACAGCAACTTTTAAAATTCCATATTTTCATGTTCGCTTCCTTCTAATTCAGGTTTCTGTCTTGGAAGGAACCTCCGGGTGGCTCGGCCCTCTTCCACCCCAGTCCTGCTGCCTCCGTGTACTCAGATTACATCTGGGTGATCTTTCCTTCTCTGACAGTGTTGTTTGGGTTTTTTTTGTTTTTGTGTTTTTGAGATGAAATCTTGCTCTTGTCGCCCAGGCTGGAGTGCAGTGGCACGATCTTGGCTCACTGCAGCCTCCACCTCCACCTCCCAGGTTCAACCGATTCTCCTGCCTCAGCACCCCCGAGTAGCTGGGATTACAGGTGCCTGCCACCACACCCCACTAGTTTTTGTATTTTCAGTAGAGATGGGGTTTCACCATGTTGGCCAGGCTGGTCTCGAACTCCTGACCTCAGGTGATCCACCCACCTCAGCTTCCCAGAGTGCTGGGATTACAGGCGTGAGCCACCGCACCTGGCCTCTGACAGTGTTTTATCCTTTGTCGTGCACACTAATTATATCCTGGCACTTGGCTCTGTATTTGTTTTTATATCAGTCTTGCCTAATCAGTTAGAATCATAGACTACTTGGAGGCATGAATAACAGTCCACATTTTATTTATTTATTTATACATCTCTCATTGCTTCAAAAAATGATTTGAGCATGTTTCTTTTATGTGATTCTGTTTTGACCTTGGTCAAGGTGGTAGACGTCCGATTAAGGAGGGTCGATAATGTATGAACTAAGAACACACAGAACAGAGGAGCTTTTGTTGTTGTTTTTAATTTATGATTTATATCTATTTGAAAGTCCTGCAAACACACATCATATTTCTCAAATCCACTTTAGAGAAAAACAAGAATGTGAAGCTGAGACTCCTCCAGTCAATGAGAAAGTTTTGATACCAAACCTATTAAAAACAAATTAAATATATTTTTCTGTGAATGTGTGCATATTCTCTCTTAGCAATGGATGTATGCCTTAAATATAAATTTTCCTTACAATACGGATTTCTGTGATATCGGGAATCTATGTTTTACAAAGGAACAACTGCTGCAGTCCTGTGGCTCCTGATTCCTTAGCAGCTGTGTCCAGCTGGTGGTCCACATTCCCGCTACTTCTTCGGTGAATGGAAACATTTAGGTCAATATTGATACAAAACTTCATGAACTTTCTTCTCTTGCAGCTTTGGTTCGCCTTTGTTAATGGATTTTCTGGGCAGATTTTATTTGAACGTTGGTGCATCGGCCTGTACAATGTGGTAAGCATTCTTCATCTATCTGATCGCATGCAGAACTTAGAACTTCAGTGGCATTCCTTCACTGTTTATGTCTGGGAAGTGTATCTAAGTCAATCATCTGTATACTTACCAGGCAGCACAAATATATCTTTAGGCCCTTTGTTGCTGTGAAACATCCTGCAGAAGCCCAAACTCTCCACACATGGTTTCCATCATAGCAGATCATTCTTGAATAACCCCATGAAATTATTAACCCATATATCTTGATAATAGACCCTTGTTACCCCCTCACCAAATGCCTGTGCAACACTTTCGTGTTTTTAGCTCAAGTACAAGTTTCTGAACTACGTCTAAACTCATTCCACTTCATTATTTTTGTTCTGAATTCTTAAACATAGATACGCATATACAGTGTGTGATCTGGTGTCCCTTCTGGCCTTCCTGAAAGGGTATCTGTCCTTGTGGAAGCACATTTTCTTCTGCAATTAGAGCTAAAATAATGAATTCTGACTTCCAGCTACTGTGGAGGATGGTCATCAGCTCATCTGGTATTTTTTATGCTTTTCGAGTTCCTTTTTTATTACTTTTTATAACTATGATGAATTCAGAAGCTAGAAATAAATATAAACTGTAGCTAAAATGGCTCAGTAGCTGCTTAGCTTTCTTGCTTTTTGTTTCACTGGCAGGAAGAACTAAGGGGCTTGTAGCTGAGCACTCTGGAGACCCCAGAACGGCCCATGTTTTGAATTGTTCTCTCACTTGGGAGTTTACATTCTGAAGCAGCCATCGTGGATAGATGTAGATGGGAGTTACCAGGCTTACAATGATAAAACCTATGGTACTAGAAATATTTCGTGTGCATATCCATTGGTGGCTAGATATTTAAGTCTTCTATGCTTTCACCTGCCTTTATGGATAACCTCAGTGCTGGGCGCTGGTGTAAAATGCTGAATGCAGTAGTTTGCCCTGGCCCTGTGTAGCTTGCAGGTTAAGAGGGTCAGATATGTGGATTCAGACACCTCCAAGGAGGACTGGGTCCGGATCTTGAGTTAAATATTGTGTTGGTGAGTCCGTAACTGTGTTAACTTGCTGCAAAGTGCACTCGCGTATTTCTTGCTGATACTGATGCCCTAAAAGACAAAGATTAGGAGGGGTAAGAACAGGACAGAATTGATGTCCATTCCTCTCCTGTGCTAGAAAAGCTACTCTGACCACCTACCTATGGATAAGGGCTGCAGGACCTCCCCTTTGTGTACTAAGGGTAGACCACAGGTTGCTAACTCTGCACCTCCTGGAACTGTTTTGAGTAGGTTAAAGCTGTTCTACCATTTGGGGGAAATATGCAGAATGCTCCACGATTATTCAGGACTTGAAAGGGTCAGGTGTCCGTGGAGTTGACACTTCACACAAACACATGCCACATCCCTATTTTAGAAACAAGATGCTGAGACCTAGGAGAGATTCTGTTGTAGAGTGAAGAACAATCACCTGCTTATAGCATGAGTGGATTTTAGCCTGATTTCCATGCTCAGGGCATGAGGGCTGGATTCTTTTCTTAGCTCCATGCAGTCTTGGCCAATTCAAATTAATCCAACAGATTTTATTGAGTGCCTACTACACATAAGATGCTGACAGCCTAGAGGGCAGTGTTGGTCAAAATGAGGACCACAGACCATTTGCAGGAGAATAACTAGGGTTTATTTGAAAAACGCAGATTCCTGAGCCCCGCCTCAGATTAACAAAGAGTATCTCAGAGATATTGCAGTTTTTGCCTTTTTGTTGTTGTTGTTGTTGTTTTTTTTTTTTTTTTTTTTTGAGACTGGGTCTTGGTCTGTCACCCAGGCTGGAGTGCAGTGTGCCATCACTACTCACTGAACCTCTCTGTTTCAAGCAATCCTCCCACCTCAGCCTCCTTAATAGCTGGGACCACAGGCAAGTGCCACCACAGCCAGCTAATTTAAAAAAAAAAAATGTGTGGAAACGGGGTCTCGCTGTGTTGCCCAGATTGGTCTCAAATTCCAGGGCTCAAGCAATCCTCCCACCTCGGCCTCCCAAAGTGGTAGGATTACGGTCATGAGCTACAAACTTTTCTAGTTATTGTTATGCATGACCTTAGAGTTGGGATTATATTTTATGCAGTTTTTCTGTCCCCCAAACTATAAAGAGAGTACACTGTGATAGAAAAGAGTATTTCAAGGTGAAAGGGCCTAGGTTACCACAGAGTCCACAGTGCAGGCATTGAAGTGGGCTGCTGGTGAGTGCTGGCAGTTGGGATGGAATGGTCAAGGATCTGCCAGGTGAACTCAAATGCACCACTGGGCTCTGGACTTGCTCATACTGGAGGGGCCAAACCTTTTGGGAACATGAAAATTTGCCCGCATGATAATTGTGACATTTGTATAAAATAAATAGAAATTTAGAGAAAAGTTACAAAAAAGGTACAAAGAACTACTATTTACCCTTCACCCAGATTGAACAGTAATTAGCATTTCCCCCTACTGCATTCTCTTTCTCCATACTTGTCCGCATGCACACGTGCCTACACTCAAGCACACACTTGTGAATGCATTTATTTCTGACCCAGCGGAGTATTGCAAACATCATGTCCCTTTCCTGCTTAAAGATCTTATAGCAGGATCTTCCTCTTATACAACCAAACTATAATGATGAAATCTGAAACATTTAACATGAATTTAATACTATTATCTAATTCATCTTAATCCATATTCCAGTTTGCCATTCTTGCTCCAATAATGCCCTATTTAGCAATTTTTCCAGCCCAGGATCATTCTAGAGACCACCTGCAAGAGAACATTTCTGATGTGGAATGCATTTGCTAGTGATCCTCTTCCTCTGGGCTGGGTTCTCCCCTGTCATATTCTTCAAGCAGTATTTCTCTCCTGCTTTTTCTTCTAAATGTACTCTTTCTTTGATTCCTCAAGTCAGCTGAAGTAGCAAGTCATTGTTTCTCAAACTAATTTTCTTTCTTTTTTTTTTTTTTTTTTTTTTTTTTTTGAGATGGAGTCTCGCTCTGTTGCGCAGGCTGGAGTACAGTGGTGCGATCTCCGCTCACTGCAAGCTCCGCCTCCTGAGGTCAACGCCATTCTCCTGCCTCAGCCTCCCTAGTAGCTGGGACTACAGGCGCCCGCCACCACGCCTGGCTAATTTTTTGTATTTTTAGTAGAGATGGAGTTTCACTGTGTTAGCTAGGATGGTCTTGATCTCCTGACCTTGTGTTCCACCCACTTTGGCCTCCCAAAGTGCTGGGATTACAGGCATGAGCCACCACACTCAGCCTCTCAAACTAATTTTCATAACAAGTTAATAGCATTAAAACAGGCTTGAGGCCGGGCGCGTTGGCTCACACCTGTAATCCCAGCACTTTGGGAGGCCGAAGCAGGTGGATCACCTGAGGTCAGGAGTTTGAGACCAGCCTGGCCAACATGGTGAAACCTCATCCCTACTAAAAGTACAAACATTGACTGGGTGTGGTGGTGTGAGCCTGTGATCCCAGCTACTTGGGAGGCTGAGACAGGAGAATTGCTTGAACCTGGGAGGCGTAGGTTGCAGTGAACTGAAATCACACCACTGCACTCCAGCCTGGACAACAGAGCAAGACTCTGTTTCAAAAGCAACAACAACAACAACAAGAAACAGGCTTCTTCCTAAATAATAAATGAATGCTGTCCCAGAAGATTTTCATTATATCCATAGTCAACTTTATTATTTATTTATTTATTTATTTGAAATGGAGTTTTGCTCTTGTTGCCCAGTCTGGAGTGCAATGGTGCAATCTTGGCTCACTGCAACCTCCGCCTCCTGGGTTTAAGTGATTCTCCTGCCTCAGCCTCCCAAGTAGCCAGGATTACAGGTGTGCATCACCACACCTGGCTAATTTTTTGTATTTTTAATAGAGACAGGGTTTCACCATGGCCAGGCTGGTCTTGAACTCCTGACCTCAGGTGATCCACCCACCTCAGCCTCCCAGAGTACTGGGATTATAGATGTGAGCCACCATGCCTGGCTTATAGTCAAATTTCTATATCATTTTGTTTTGTGGGTAGAATGAGACTAAAAATGCCACCAGGGACCAATGCCACTAGGATCAAATGGATTTCAGCTAAATTTTATGTCTGTTATAATGCAGAGAGCACTCTAGTATTATTTAACCTCTTGCAGAAAATGAATCCTGTTGTCAAGCCAGCGTCATTTGAGGAAGAAGTCTCACTTATAAACAGAAATACAAAAATTCTAAATAAAATATTGGCAAATGGAGTTCAATAATATATTAAAAGAAAAAGTATGTGACAAAGTAAGATTTATTTTAGGAATACAGGAGGCTTGAAATTAAACATCTTTCTAAATATCACTAGATCAATAAAATAAGAAAAACGTGATCCCATCAGCAGATGCTACAAAAATGTTTGAAGTAATTCAGCTGCCATTCCCAAAATAAGAACTCTAAATAAAATAGGAATAGAAAAAAGCCACTTAACCGGAATTCATACCATTTACAAAAACCAGTAGCATGCTGCCCAAAATGGTAAAATTCTGAAATGATTTCATTTAAAATAAGAAGTTAATCAAGATGCTTGCCATCGCTATATAATTCATTGTTTTCGTATTTTTGGCAACTGCAAAGAAGATTGCAAATATTGGGAAAACAGTGAACAATCTCTGTACTTATACAAATATGCTCACAGAAATATAGTAATGTAAATATGTTCATATATGATTGTTTATCTAGAAAACAAAACCAGTAGAGAAATACTAGAATTATAAGAGAATTTGATAAAGTGACCAGATACATGATAAATATATTTTAAAAATCAATAGCCATTTTCTAGCCTAGCAATAAATAGCTTTTTTTGTTTGTTTTTTTTTTTGCTCTGGCAATGGACACCTAAAAATGCAAAGGAAGTAAGAATTCTTTCAATAAAGCAATTACAATTGTATATTGCATAGGAAAAATGTCTACAGTACCTACATTTTTGAAAGTCTTATTGAACAAATGGAAAAGCATACTATTTTCTTGTATGGGAAGACTTAATATCATAAAAGATTTAACTCTTCTAAAATTAATATAGATATATGTGATTCCACATAGAATCAATCCCAACAGGTGAAAGTTTTGGGAGGAAAGGGGAAAGCTGCATATAGTTATATTAAAGTATTAATGGAATTTACACGTATCTGAGAATAAATATGTAAAGCACGCTCAAAAAAAGATCATAAAAGTAGACTTATTTTTACTAAATATCAGACTATACTATGAAGCCACCATAACCAAATCACTGTTATTGACAAATAAGTTGGAGATTCTAGAACTACATTCCCATTCTAGGGTCTGCATGTGTAATACATGAAAATTTGATTAGCCTTAAAGGTGATCTTTCAATGTATTGGAGAAAGTTTGGCCTCATTAATTATGTTGTCACAACTGGCTCTTAATTTGGAAAAAAAAATGGACTCCTATATAAAAAAATTCCAGATATATTAAAGACTTAAATGTGGAAAATAAATTAGTGAAATCCTACAAGACACTCCTGAAAACATGTAATTTTCATGGAGGAGAAACTTCTGTAGCCACAATTGGACACGCAGAAGCATTTCTTGGCCATTTAAATATTAAAAGCTTTTATATGGCAAAAGAACCCATTTTAAAAACCAATAGACAAAGAGTGCATTTGCATGAAATTTCATAACATAAAGACAGAGTTGATATCTGTTCTACTCAAAGAGCTCTTTAAAAAGAGGATAAGCCGTGGATACAAAGTAGACAAAAGACGTGAGTTAGACATTCCACAGAACTGCAAATGCAGATAGCCAACAAATGTGTGAAAACATGCTCAAACTCACTGGTAGTTGGGGAAATGCAGCTTTTTAAAGTAAGAAGTAGACAAAAGACATGAGCAGACATTCCACAGAACTGCAAATGCAGATAGCCAACAAATGTATGAAAACATGCTGAAACTCACTGGTAGTTGGGGAAATGCAGCTTTTTAAAGTAAGAAATAACATCTTTAATTTTTAAGACTGGAGAACATTAAAAGACCAATGTAACAACCATTGCTGATAGGGAAATAGGAAAAAATCTGTGATTGTCTTTTGCAATGGGAGAGGAAAATGCTTTCAAAATCCTTTGAAAGGCAGAATCTAGTAAAATTAAAAATGCATGTATCCTTTTAACTCTGCTGCTGGGCCTTCTTCCCATAGAGATAAAAGAAAAAGCCTGTATGTTATAATATAGTATAGATATGTATTACATGTTTGTGGTAACAAAGAACTGGGAAGAAAATGAATGCCCATCAGTGGGTGAATGGCTAAAAAAATGGTACATCCGTACTATGAATTATTATGTGAGCATTAGAAGACTGCATTAGCATCAAACCCAAGGGACTTGGGGGGCTTTCTGTAATGCGTTGTTTAGCGAGAAGAGCATGATGAAGAAAAATGTGTATAATGTCTACTTTTTTGGTTGGCAGGGGACAGGGTCTCACTCTGTTGCCCAGGCCAGAATGCAATGGTGCAATCATAGCTCATGCAGCCTCGACCTCCTGGGCTGGAGCAGTCCTCTTGCCTCCACTTCCCAAGTAGCTGGGACTACAGGCACACACTACCTCGGTGTGTTCTGTGAAATTGTGACAGGGTCTTGGTGTGTTGCACAAGCTGGTCTCGAACTCCTGTCTTGCCCTCCCAAAGTGCTAGGATTGCAGGCAGGAGCTACCATGATTGGCCAGCGTCAACGTTTGATGAAACAAATTATGATCCCGTGTGTGTGTGTGTGTGTGTGTGTGTGTGTGTGTGTAGTATGCTATAGGCAGAGTGGAAAATGTGTAGGCATGCTGGGCTTCATTATAGCATGGTGATGAAGAACAGGGGAGAATTTGAAGATAGGTAGAAGGAGAAGCTCAAGTTTAAAAAAAAGAAAAAGACTGCCACGTAAACAGTAGGCATGACATCACACGTACACGTGGATGCAGAGCAATGGAGGTGAGGGTATGGACTAAGAAAGTGTGCATGGCTCCTGGCTTCTGTTAGAAGCTCTGTCCAGCTATAAAACAGACAACTTTTGTTGTTTTGAGGAAAGTGAGTGCAACAAGTCTCCTGTGGATTTCTCCTTAAAGTCTTTGTAGCACATTGAAATCCCAGGGCTGCTTTCCATTCTGCTGTGGCCTGAAGGAAGAGCGTGAGAGTTTTACTGGCTCTACTCACCACACATCCGATTGCCTGCTCCCAATAGACTTGGGAACAGCTTCCTCTGGCCGCACACTCCATCTCCAGATAGCTAGTGTGAGTTCAGAATTCTCTTACAGACGCACGTCCAATTCCCACAGGCCTGAGAGCTTGCTGGGCTTGTGGGTAGGGATTTGAGGGATGCTCAGCAGCAAGTGACCCAGGCTCTGTGAACCATTCCCAGAACCAAGCAGGAGAAGGACCCTCAGGGCCAACATGTCCTGAGTTAAAATGACATGTTTCTTCCAAGCACCTTCTTCAGCTCCTGCTTTATCTTTCTAATACACAAATATGAGTACAGGTGAAAGTCAAAGGTCTTGCAAGGCACCGTCTGCCCAAGAACTCATTGTCACTGGAGACTGTTTGGTCTGGTCTCCTTCCTATCCTTGCCTTACACCGCACCCCTCAGCCAGCCACCATCCTGTGTATCTTAGAAGGTTCCTCGTCCAAAGACAAAATTACAACAATTTAAAGATCGAATTGGCTTTTGTTAGCCATTCTGGAATTGGGTAGCATCTCATTCCGTGAAACAGAATGAGTGCTCTGATGAGCTGAGCAGAGGAGGCCAGCTTTATAGGCAGAGAGGGGCTAAGGAAACAGAAGCAGAACAAAAAGCAATAGGTTGTTTCAAAGTGACTTTCTTTACAGAGTTGAAACAGAGGGGACTTCCATATCATGCTGCCTCAGGTAAACTGGGCCCTTTCTGGTGCCCAGGTAAACTGGTTGCTGTGAATCTCCTGTGTTTTTTGTTTGTTGGTTTGTTCGGTTTTGGGAAACTGGCCTGTTTCAAAGTTTAGTTTGATGACACAGCTCTTAGCACAAGTAACTCCATTCTGGTTTGGTCAGGTCTGCTGGGGCTGAGTGCAGGAGCTCAGTCCAAACAGTGGCCTTCTGTAAACTTTGTTCAACACCTCCAAACAGGCATGCTGATGTCTCAGAGCTTTGTAAGGGGTGCATCTCTCGTGGGACTGCTTCCTCACCCACATCCCTATCATCTTGCCAAATCCTGTTGGTCCAATACCTTGCAGGTCAGATACTCTTCGGTGCAAGAATCCTTTGGTGACTCTCCCTTCTCCTTCTGCGTCCTCCCTCAACAGGTATTAACAGTTTTGCAGAGCCCTGCGTTTTGTGTATTTATCTCTATGCCTGTTGCCCCACTCCCCTCCCCCACCTTTGCAGTAGATGGCGTTCCTGGAGGTCAGGGACCTGATTTTCCTTCTTTCTTCTGTTTGTAAATCTCTCCATGCCTGGTGCTTATCACAGTATCTAGCCCATAATTCATTTATAGTAAACGTCTGTTGAATGAATAAATGGATGAAGTACATTATGCTTCCTGAACTTTAAGTATAACGTCAAGATGGAAGGTTGTAAATTTTACCTCTGCTAGCGTGAACAGAAAACAAAGCAGCACTTCACAGAGCTAACTGTGGCATGATTCCACATCAGCCCTCGTTTGACAAAGGAAGGTAGTTGCTAATTTAACAAGAAGTCTTGGCTTATCGGATAATGTATGATTTTTTAGTGTTCAGTGTATTCATTTGATAGTGATTAATGTAAAAATGGTCTTTCATTTATTTCCTTTGTTTGGAGGGTGTCTGGGGATCTGTGAATCATGAAGTCTCAGGTTGGGACTTGACTGGAAATGAAGTCATCGTTTGGTAGAAGGGAACACTGCAGCCATGTGGGTCGGAAGGACTGCTGTTAATGGCTCATTGTTCTCCCTGCAGATTTTCACCGCTTTGCCGCCCTTCACTCTGGGAATCTTTGAGAGGTCTTGCACTCAGGAGAGCATGCTCAGGTTTCCCCAGCTCTACAAAATCACCCAGAACGGCGAAGGCTTCAACACAAAGGTAAACAGGGTGTGATCTCAGAATTGTCACCTCAGAAAGGCATGGCTGTTTGATTCTAGTCATCTGCCTATGAGATATTTGAAGCTTGAGAAAGAACATTTAAGAAGTGCTGAGAACATGATCTGCTCGCCCCACCACCACACACACACACACACACACACACACACACACACACACACACACCACAAGCCCAGTGAATTCAAGACGCCTTCTCAGGCGACGGGTCCATGCCGCGTGGGCTGCAACCTCCGGTCCCAGCATGTTGACTCCTTCCCACTTCTCCCTGTCAGCCCCTGACATCAGTGTGGGCAGCAGCTCCCACAGCCCAGGTTCAGGATCTACTGTCAGAGACCCCCCCTTGTGCGGTCCTGCAGCCCTATGTAGAGGCCCGATGGCAGCTTACCTAACTGTTGCTGGGTTTGTCATTTGAAATAAAATGTGTCTTTAGCTTGTGCATAACATTGTCTAGATATGAACTCAGGGATCACATGAGTTGTGGGGGTTTTGTTTGGTTTTGTTTTTCTGGACCAGAGAATCAGAAAGGAGCCAAAGAAAGGTATAGGTGATCCTGACAAACCCAGCCCAAAGCTGGGTGGGGTGTTAAAGGGGTCGGCAGTCTCAGGCAGCAGAGGGGTCTGCCACACAGATGCCGTTTGCAGCTGAAAGTGGCAGAGTGCTCGGGTGACCCCATCCAAAGAAAAGAGAGATGTGTGCCTGGGCGCGGAGGGGTGAGATGTGAGCATGGCCGCATGGCCTTGTTTCTGCCTCAGGTCTTCGTTCGGGGGGATTCAGAAGTTTAGACAGAGGTCTGTTGCACAGTTCACCTCCAGGACTGTGTGCTGGTGGCGGTCACGATTTGCGTGCGTGGTTCCTGGGCTGTCAGTGAGAAGGACATAGGGAGTCACCTCTCCAGGCCTCAAGGAGTGAATGGTCTCCCAGGGCCTCTCTTCTGAGCCAGATGTTCCTGATATTCCTGCAGCCACCTTTTTCTGGGGAGGCTCACTAGTTACATCCGAGGCAGAGAGGAAACAGAAGGGCTCCTTATTGGTTCTGCCATCCCCATATCCAAAGAGGCCCGAGGGACTCCTTTTACCAATCCTTGTTGACTATGATTCCGTGAATGGGAAAATATGACCCATTTTCACTGCATTATTTACATAAATCCATTTTCTACAGAATTTGAATGCAAAGGCCATTTGAGGTGGGAAGTAAGTAAGAGCTGAGGATGCACGGAAACATCTGCAGGCACTTTGAAGAATTTTTTTTTTTTTTTTTAGATAGATCAGAGATGGTGCAAAATGAACATTTAAAGCAGGGGGAAATTCCATTGTCTTATAATAACATTTTCCACTATTTTCTGTCATCTCAGGCTCAAACTATATGATAATTCCCAGGGACAACTGGTAGATGTTTAAATAAATTTAATCTGGCTTTAATAGTTAATAATTCTGTCATCACAGTGGTTAAAACAATGATTGTGATATATTAGTGAAACTAAAGTTTAGAATAAACTAAACCTTGTGTCCTTTTTTCTGACCTTTAAATATTAAAGAGAAATTTCAAATATGCATATTATCTAAAATCCCAAAAATAATAGAAAAAGTTGAATGAGAGGGATTTGAAGTCGTAAAACAAAACAGCGAGAATGCCGTGCAAAAATTTACAAGTGGAATGTTTTCAGTGCTTTTAAGACATCCCATCCGCCCCGATACAGTTTAATTGTTAAGAAGAGACACAGTTTTAGTCTCTTCTTAACAATTTTGACCTACTATCCTTTCTCTGGATGTTTGTGAAATGTTGTCTCTCTTACAATGCTAAAGAAAACTGATCAGAATGAATTTTTCACGTGTGGATAGATTGTGTTGGTCTGCATACGTGTGAGTAGATATTTAGGTCTTTGTAACTAAAGTAATATGATCTGGAGATAATCCAGTCATTTTATGTAAAAATTAAATAGTTGATTTGGGTGAGGGTTTTGTTTTGTTTTGTTTTTCGAAGTCAAGAATAACATGCTACTCCTGGAACCGTGCAGCGCACGGTCAGGATCCCGCACAATGTGGCGTTTGTTGAGAGTTTCACAGAGGTCAAGCATTTTGGGCAGCTCCTGACTCCCTTGGTTTGTTTTTCCTTAGGTTTTCTGGGGTCACTGCATCAACGCCTTGGTCCACTCCCTCATCCTCTTCTGGTTTCCCATGAAAGCTCTGGAGCATGGTAAGGGCTGTGTGATCTCACCTGTCAGCAAGGAGCTTTGCAGCCGCTCTGCTGCCTGTGTGTTCACAATTTTTTTTTTCCAGTTCTGCAGAACAAGAGATCACAGGAACACATTTTAGAGTGAAAACATACCTAAAGCATAATGAGAGCTGGTCTCGGGTTTATAGCTGGTAGGTTTCATCAGTTCTGGCTTTGAGAACCCATTTTCTTTCCAGTTGACTGGATAGTTTGAGTACTAGGAATTGTCATCTCAGTTTGTAAATACTATTTGAGTCAGAGATCCTCAAGGAAAGCTCTGTACTATAATGAAATGTTGATGCTTATTGTCTGTGGTTTGAAATTCTCTGTTAATTACGTGGACTTTTATTTCCGAGCCTCCCCTACCCATATGCAGAATAACTCAGATCTTATAGGAGTTGGATCTTATTCCTAGCTTTCTAACAGAGGGTCCTGTCCTTGATGTATGCCTTTTGAAATTAGGGTTTGAGAACTAATTCTCCAGATTGGGGTTTGTCTTTACAGCTGGAAGAGGATATCTGAGAACTGTGGCAGACTCAGTGCTTTTTCACACTTCTTAATACATCCAGAACGTGGCCTCCTAAAGAGACATATTTTTATTCTCAGAAAATAAAAATGTATCATGAGAATGCTACTCTTTCATCCCTCTCAAATAGTAATAATCCCCCTGGGAAAAATTACTCCAAATGTTGACTAGACAAGGCCCTTTATTGTTCAAAGAACCAAAGAATATAAAGTTTCCAAGCGTCTTTGTTTCTGTGTCAGTGAGTTTTAGGCTTCCAACAGAAACGATTCATCCTCACTGATATTCTTTAACCTATTAAATACTGACAGAGAAAATGCGTGCACTGCCATTTTCTTATGCCACGTGACATATTCTTTCAATTTCATCAGAACTCCTTTGCCTTTGAGGGTTCTTAAGTCTTTAAATCAGAGAATACAATTTCATGCTTTCTAGCCCCACCCCAGAAAAGAGCATTCTAGTGAAATCGTTTTCTTTTAACGTGAAACCCTTCTTGTGATTCGTCTTTACTCAGTGGATTTAATTTATTTTAAAATGGTTTTGTAAATAAGAGTGCGTAAGTAGAAGAGTTGGGGATGTGATTTTATGTCAGAGGCTGTGATATTTTGGTGACAGACTCAGCCATCATTGTAGCCGGAGGAATTAGTGATGGGAAGTGGTATGTCTGATGAGCATAAGAGAAATTTCAGAAATCATCCTCCGTACCTGAGCCCAGGCTTTAGTACTTAAGAAGAGTCTGCAAATAGCATGAACTAGCCGCAAGTACTCTCTGAAGACTCCTTACCACTTATCTAGACATACTACTGTGTTCCTAACTCAGAAGTGCTCGCCTTTTGACTCTCAGAAGCTTTACAAGATGGTCACTTACTTACCTGCTTCAAAGGAACTAATGGGGCCGTTCTGCAGTGGAGACGATGGTTTTCTAATCCTGGAATTATGATCACATACTTTCAGTTGGTGCCTTGTAGTTTATGGTGAAATTGCTACAGTTTACCCAGATTCCATTATGTAAGTCCATTCATTCACATAACATGGTCTGTGTTTACAGGTGGTAGACTCCCAGCAGTTGCCAACTTACCTAAGAGACAGCACCAAGTGAATTTGAAATTAGTTGTGCTATCCTTATCTAATTCCTCCAAATCTGGCAAATTACCTGGCAGCCAGCCAATAGGATGCTTCTTTCCTCTTTTTATTATCACCATCATCATCAATGTCATTATTTCATTGGATTTATTGAACCTTCAGCATAGGGGTTTTCTTTGAGTTGTGTTGCAAACAATAATCTATTGAGCGAAACTGTGTAAAGTGAAGTAAATTGCAAATATTAAGTGTATCAGAACAGAGGGACATTGGTGTTTTTGGTCATTAGTTGACTTCCTTTAACAAATTGAATATTTTAGAATTAATTTATAAATTCTCACTATTAGTACGGAGAAAAAAAATCATTATATGATTGCTCATTAACCTTATTCTTGTTATGTTCAAGACACTGTGGTAGATTCTAAGGGTGACAGTAGATATATCAATGTCGGTCTCACCTTCCAAGAGTTTGTAGTATGGAAAGGGAGATTAGAGTTTGTCTTAGTCCATTTTGTGCTGCTATAAGAGTACCAGAGACTGGGTAATTTATAGTGAACAGAAATATATTTGGCTCCTGGTTCTGGAGGCTGGGAAGTCCCAGGTCAGGGAGCTGGCTTCTTGTTAGAACCTACTTGATGTGTCATCCCATGGTGGAAGGATATGGGGTAGAGAGAGGGGGAAGGAACTCATGCCAGTGACACCAGCATTAATGCATTCATGAGGGTGGTGCCCCCATGACCCAAACACCTCCTGTCAGGCCACAGCTCCCAGCACTACTGCATTGGGGATCAAACTTTAAACACATGAGCTTTGTAGGCTGCATTCCAACCAGAGCAGATTTGCAAATAAATGACTCTAGTACAAGGAAAATAGCTGTTTCAAGTAAACCATAGATAAAATGCTATTAGATATCAGAGGACTGAGAGATGCCTTTCATTTGGAGTTATTAATAGCTTCCTAGAGGAGGTAATATTTACGTTTAGCCATGAAATCCAACAGAAGGAAGAATCAAGCAAAGTGGGGAAATCAGGACAGGTGTGGAAAACTGAGCAGCTGAAGGGTGGAAGATGGGGAAGTTTAGGAAGGCAGATAAAAGCTGAATTACAGAGGGCTTTGAGTATGAGGTTAAGAAACTGGGACGTGGCCAGGCGTGGTGTCTCACGCCTGTAATCCCAAAACTTTGGGAGGCCGAGGTGGGTGGATCACCTGACATCAGTTCAAGACCAGCCTGGCCATCATGGTGAAACCCCGTCTCTACTAAAAATACTAAAATTAGCTGGGTGCAGTGGCAGGCACCTATAATCCCAGCTACATTCAGGAGACTGAAGCAGCAGAATCACTTGAACATGGGAGGTAGAGGTTGCAGTGAGCCAAGATCATGCCACTGCACTGCAGCCTGGGCAAAAAAGCAAAACTCGGTCAAAAAAGAAAAAAGAAAAGAAAGAGAAAGAAAGGAAGGAAAGAAAGAAGAAAGAAAGAGAGAGAAAGAGGGAGGGAAGGAAAGAGAAAGAAAAGAGGAAGAGGAAGAAGAAGGAGGAGGAGGAGGGAGGGAGGAAGGGAAAGAAGGGAAGGAAGGAAGAACGAAAGAAAAGGAAGTTAGGAAGGAAAAGGAAGGAAAGAAGGAGAGAAAAAAAGAAGGAAAGAAACTGGGACTTAACTGTTTAGGCATTGAAGGGTCAGTATAGAATTTAGATCTAGATCTTTATGATCAGGACAATTTGGGAAAATAAACCTGTCATGTCTTGTAAGGTGAGCGGTAGAAAGAAAACTACTGGCAGAGACTCCAGGGGACAGCTTAGGGAGGGTTAAACCCAGGAATGGGATTGTGTTTGGAGAAGATGTTTTGGAAGGAGCTTCTTTGTTTGCTGAGATTGTAGCATATCTGTGAGGTAAGAGGCTCTCTGAGGGCGCGGTGAATGTAGATACCAGCAAGCCAGGCACTGCCTGTCCTGCCCTCTGGAGGCTTACCTGAGGTCAGAGTTGTTGGGCAGGAATTTCGTACATGTTGCTTAATTACCAGTGCACTGAGTCCTAGGATCTGTGAGTGGAGCTTGTATAATAAAGAGACACAACCTAGTCTAATGAGTCCAGGAGCGTCTTCTTCCGGGAAGTGATATTGAAGTTCTTGAAAGAGGAGTCGGGGGTGGTCACGTGGGACAAGGGAGATGTGGGACAAGGGCCTGGTTGGGAGAAGGAGCATTCCTGGCCAGAACCATGCAGGTGCACAGGACCTGAGCTGTTGAGGCCATGGGAAGTATTTTAGTGGGACTGGGGGTGCCTGGACTCTGGACTCTTCTTTATCCACCTCTGGTGAGAGGCTCGGGACCCTGGGCATTCCTGCCCTGGACTGGAAAAATCAGTAACCTCCTGCTGTGAACTGACTGCTTATATGGCCCCCTGCCCCCCAGCTGATATGTGAAAACCTCAAACTGTAAGGTGATGGTAGATAACATAGGGCCTCTGGGAGGTGATTAGGTCATGAGGGCGGATCTCTCAGAAATGGGATTAGTTTACCTATAAAAGGGACCCTCGAGAGCTCATCTGCCCCTTCCACTATGTGGGAGTGTAGCTAGAAGACATCACCTATGAGGAATGGGCCCTCACCTGACACCACAACTGCCACCTCCTTGATCTTGGACTTCGCAGGCTCCAGAACTATAAGAAATGAATTTCCAGGGGTTATAAGCCATGCAGTATATAGTATTTTGTTATAGTCGGCCGAAAGAACTAAGACACTCCCTCTCCCTCTTTCCCTATCCTTCTGGAACTATCAATCAAAACACATCTCTACACATTTCTAGCATCCCCCGTGTAGTGGACAACCACCCCTAGTCAAGGCAGCTACAGCATAGAGAGGAGGTAGTGGCTGGAAAAAGGGGCAAAAAAGTGAGGGAGGATCTGATCACTAACAGCTGGTGGGGGGGACTTTTTCTCAGGGCAGGTTAGAGGTAGGAGAGTTATGTGATAAGATTTGCCCGTAAAGAAGATTAAGACTGCTCTGTAAAGAAACACGTAGGATCTGGCAAGAGTGTGCCAGGACCATGCAGTTGCACAGGACCTGAGCTGCAGAGGCCATGGGAAGTATTTTTAGTGGGACTGGGGGTAGCAGGGATTTTTTTGGTGGGGAGGGGAGTGGCAGGGATAAAGACTGTAAGCCCCAGAGGACCGGGATATGCCAGTTGATATACTAGCTGACTGGAGGACTTGTTCATGTGTGCTGATTTGCTGTCCTGAGTACAAGTGAATTCTTGTTACACTTTTTTTTTTTCTTTTTTTTTTTTGAGATGGAGTCCCATTCTGTTTCCCAGGCTGGAGTGCAGGGGTGCGATCTTGGCTCATGCAGTCTCCGCCTCCCAGGTTCAAGCAATTTTCCTGCCTC